AATGGTAGCAGCAATAGCAAAGACTTTGATAAAGAGCTTAATGGCTATGCTGGCGTAAAAATAGATTAGCTCTATCTGTGCTAATGGCAGCCGTTGGTGCCTTTCAAAACGCACACATACACGCTCTTGCCTTTATTGTTTTTTTCACTTAAGTATAAAGTCATACCCTTCAGAAATCAGGTCACCTTTTTTTAGACCAAATGATTAAAGGCCAAGCTATAAAAAACCTCAAACTGTAAAATCTGTTTAGCTTACTCAAGTACACTGGACAAACTTTTTTTTGTTGTTGTTTTATTTTGGGGTTTTTTTACATTTTTTTTAAAGGACAGTGAAGAGGTCGTCTCGGTGCGACTTTTGTGTTGACTTTAAAGAGTTTAAAACTGTTGATGTTATCTGTTTGTTAGTGTGCATGCTTTGACATGCATTTGCAACATCAGTAGTGCGATGATATTGGGGAAAAACGAACACTGTTTATTATATATATTGTGCAATATAATAATGAAAAAAAGTTGAAAAATCACTTTCACTCTGAAGACATTTTTGCGTACGAACCATCCCTTTAGGGCTGAAAATTTAGGGAAAAACTTGATAGATTTGGGTGTTCACACTTGGGTTTACTCTTTACAAGAACCAACTCAAACCTCTATCAGAAATCATAAAGTGTTTTCACTTTTCAAAGTCAATATTTCCACAGTTTTTGCCCCATTTAATATAATTATTTTTAATAAAATTGAATTTGTATTCAATTTAATTTAATACAAATATTTAAATAAGAACTGTTTGTAGTAGTACAATTGTAGTGTATAATAAAAATAGAATATTTAATAAAAAAAACAATAGTGCATTTGTCAAATTTGTGTTAATTCCATCCTAATTTCTTCATTTTCAAATGCTAAACCATCAAACTTTTATTTTGATATTTATATGCACTGCAGGTTTTAGAGTGAAGCACAGCATTGTGTTTATTTACACTCAAGCAGCTCATGATAAAGTGTTTTAGCATCTTAGAGGGGCTTGGTTAACGGTAAATAGTGCAGCGCTTCACTCTGAAACTTGCAGTGGTTATAATTATTTAATTAAATCACAGCATGCATGATTTAATAATTGTGATCGATCTAAGCCATATCTCGTTATTGATTTTATTTTCGTATATCCTGCAACACTAAGAAACAATAAGAAAAAAATAGGACCAGACTTTGTTCTGTCCATTGCGAATGCACTTAATCAAGAATAGTGTCCAGAGTGGAACCAGTTTGGAAGAATAGGGTTAAAAAAAACAGGTCTTGGTGATGTCATCCAAACTAAAAAATTGATTTAGAGACTGAGCAAGTTATTATAGTTTGATGGTTATTAACTACAGAATAATAAATACTGGCAAATATGACCAGGAATGTGATCTACAATTAGTATTATAATTTTTATTTTAGTTCACTTAACCAGCTTTTCCTGCTAACAGTATTATAAACCCAATTGTTCAGAATTATATCCACCATTTTTAGTTACAGTACAGCTCCCACGGCAGAAGTGTGTCTGCCGTCCCCTCTCACCTGTGTAGAGCCTTGCTTTGTTTTTATCTGTTCCTGACTGCCTCTGAGCTGTTGACCCTCTTGAGTGCTCAGGGGGGGGGGGGGGGGGGAGGAAATGTAATGGCCTGTGAGAAAGATAGGTTATGAGAGAACGAGGGAAGAAAAAACAGCAGCTATACAGAGAGAGAGAGAGAGAGAGAGGGAGAGGCCTCGCTGACGTTTCCCTGCTGCATATGCAGCTGATAGTATCTGGCAGGGCCTGGCTCTCTGGGGAGCCCTGTAATCTGTTCCATCAGCGTTTACTACCGAACAAATTAACTAAGACAAGCACCGCCGCCTGAGCCAGCAGAATTCTTCCATTAGGAAAATTATAAAGCTATTATGGGGAACAATTTGGTACTTTATATAAACGACTCTCTTTGGAGGGCTACAGGCTTCCTTGAACTACACCAGGGGGGTTGGATGGAATACCCCAGGGGGCATTAGCACTATTGATACCAATAGAAAGAAAAATCATGCTCTTTAATATCTCAAACCTTTCTCTTTGACAGCAGCAAGATTAAATGGAGAGTTTTTATTAAGTCTCTGAGAAGAAAAGACCCTAGGAAACTCAGTTGTGAGTTTCAAGCGAGACAGTCTCAAACTGTGCTCAAAAGATCTCGGTATAAATTAAAAAATGTATATGATTCTTCCGAAACCAAATAATCTGCTCTATTATATGCACATTAATTTTACAGCCTTATACTGTTTTTGTGTGTCAACAGTTGTCGTAGACCTTTTCCGCAAGGAATTTGAAAAATATCTGAGACTTGGTACTTCATTGAAGTACCTTCCTCAGCTTTGAACGCACAAACTTTATTATATATTATGATTCATATTTACTGTAATTGTGGATGCTCAACCTTAAAAATCACATTGTAGTATTTTAACAAACATTTTTCCCAAGGACCTTTAGGAGAAACATCTGAGATGAAGTTGATACTTCAATGAAGTACCTTCTTAAGCCATGAAAGCACAGCCTTTGCTGTATTATGATTCATACTTGCTGAAGTTCTGGCTTCACAACCTAAAAAATCACATTATATTGTAAGACAAGAATATATATCATAATTGCATTCACAAATCAGTTCTGAAGTTGACATTTTTGAATCCAACTCAGTCGTTTAGTTTAAATTATGAATCAAATCAACAGATTCTTTTCAATGAGCCCTTGATCCTGTTCACAGTTCAGAATGATTTATTCACAGATGGGTTCCTAAGTTGAATGTGCAATTTTTTGGTGTATTATGATTCATATTTCTTGTCATTTTCACTGGCTTTAGCAATCAGTTCTGAAGTTGACATTTTGAATCCACCTCAGTCGTTTAGTTGAAATTGTGAATCGAATCAACAGATTATTTTCTTTGAAAACTTTGATCTGGTTCACAGTTTAAAATGATTCATTCACATATGGTTTCCTAAGTTAAAAGTGCAATCTTTCCTGTATTATGATTCATATTTTCTGTAATTTTGGCTGCACGACCTTAAAAATCGCATTATGGTTTAAGACAAGTATATATATATATATCATGATTACGTAGAGGTAATGTATATAGGCTACCCTTAATAATGCTCATGTACAGTGCGTACATGTCAGTGCATTGTTAGAGTATACACATTATGTCAGTTTATTTCCGTCACGGTCTCACCGCTTGTATTAATAACAAGCCATTTAGGAAGACCAGAACCATAGCCCACTTACATAGCATGACGTTTTTATCTAAAACATGTCCCATTGACCCAGAAACCAGTGATCCACACCCATCTCTAGGGATGGTATTTTAAAACCAGATTTGTCCCTGGAGATCAGCCCTCGTGCTTTTACCTTGCCAGACTAGCCGAACGATGCTCCGTTGGAGTGTTTTGCGGAGCCATGTGTCTTCCTGTGTGGAAGGAGGAGGTGATAATAACAGAGGAGAGTAAAACTAGGGCGAGACTGTGGTGACTCAGCCCCCCAGTTGTTGTGTTGGAGGTTTGGGGAGTCTGGTGCACAGAGTTCCAGCCTAATTAAGTTGATTTGTTCCCAGCATCTGGCTCCCAGATGTCAGATGATATTCTTTAGCTCAGCTCCCTGCTGTTGAGAGGAGAAGAGTGGGACTGCAGGGACCGCAGACTGCTGACTTTTCACAAGGCCCACCGGGGGTGGGACTGCAGCACGCTGTGGGTGACTGACGGATGCGGCGTCCAATCACAGTGTGTTTGTCGCAACTTTCCTGGGAATCTGATTGGCTAGTCAGAGCAAGAGGTTTATAGCCACAGTATGCCTGCAGGTGCAAACCAAGCAGTATTCCCACACCTTATAAAACACGTGTTTCCTGCAAAATAGACGTGATGTTTGGCGAGAAGGTTCTGTTGTATTGTTTTTACAGCTTTCGGTTTTGGCGAATGCGATTGGTCTGAGGTTGATGACTCTGCTTGTGGACAACAAAAAGCTGTTGCTAACCTCTTCATACAGTGGTGCCAAGTTCATTAAGTTGACTCACTGAATCGTTTAGTCAAATTGTGAATCAAATCAACTGGTTCTTTTCAGTGAATTAGTTGATTTGATTCACAATTAAGACTGAGCAGTTCACTCACAAATCAGTTCCTATGTTGACTTTTGGAACCAATTTACTGACACTTTTAGTTCGAATTGTGAATCAAATCAACTGGTTCTTTTCAGTGAATCAGTTGTTTTGTTTTTCAATTCAAACTGATCTATTCATTCACAAATCGATTCTTAAAGTGACATTTTGAATCCAACTCACTGAAACTTTTAACTCAAATTGTAAATTTAATCAACCGCTTCTTTGCAGTGAATCAGTTGATTTGATTCACAATTCATTGATCAAACTGAGCAATTCATTCACTTATCTGTTTTTAAGCTGACATTTTGAATCCAACTCACTGAATCAAATCAACTGGTTCTTGTCAGTGCTTCATAATTGAAAGAAATGGTTCATTTCTGATTCACAATTAAAATTGAATAAATCATTCATGAATTGGTTCTTAAGTTGACATTTTGAATCCAGCTTGATTTATTCAGTCCGATTTGGATAAACTGGTTCTTTTCAATGATCCTTCAGTGCTTTTCAGTGGTTGTTGGAACAAAGTTGGCATGAGTAAATAACAGGAAAATTATCATTTGACTTTTTTCCTTTCAAATCTGATGGTCACATGGAAGACAAATCGGTTCTGATAATCCAAAAACTGAAATAATTGCCAATTCTGTCAATCCAAGGTTGATATTTAGGCACTTTTTTAACGACTCGCTGATGTCATGTTATTTATTTACCAAAAACGTTACTCTGGACTAGGGCTGCATGATAAATCGCAATTTACCGGTGATTACAGAACCGGCTTTACTGATAAGATGCGCGTTAAATATCGCATGCGATTTATCGTGCAGCCCTACTCTGGAACCTCATCTGAATTGTTTCCCTTATCTGTCCACAGAAAGAACTGGATGCCACCGCCGCAGCCCTGGCCAACAGACAGGATGAAAGCGAGCAGTCCAGGAAAAAACTCATCGACCAAAGCCGCGAGTTCAAGAAGGATACTCCAGAGGTGAGCAAAAGCGAGAAATGGAGTGAGAGACGATTTTCCAAATGATAGGAAGCTCAAAGGTAGTGGAGCGAAGGAGAATTTGAGCACTGAATTGTCATATGTCTGGACCGGCACATCCTGGTCTCATGGGTACCTGTGAAGCACCATGTTTCAGCAATTCAAATCAGTTTAATTTCTCCTGCTTGCCTCCATTTTGACTGCTTACAGGATTTTAAACATGTACCCTGTAGAGTTGCGTTCTTATTACGATTGTTCCAAGCGCCGTTAGATTATTTTTCTGATTTTGCACTTGTCTGAAGCTCGGCATGGCCTTGTAAGAGAGGTCGGTAGCAGAGAAACCAGAGGATATTATGGTTTATCCATTTAGGGAATACTTGGTCTGCATGAATAGCGGCGGACGGTCGTGTCCAGACCATAGGGTTGTCTGTGAGGTCATCTTCCAGGGGAAAAACCGACGATGCATGTTAGCAAGACAGTAAGGATCAGTGATTCTTTATTTACTGAAAACCGTCTCTGATCTGATAGAGTTCTGAAACAAACGTGTCCTGACAGTAGGAGAACCTCACGATCATTTGATCAGGATGGTTATCAGATGTTTGTTCTGTTTTGAAACAGAAAGATTATTCTTAATGTGTGGACATGATAATGTTCATAGACTCATTTTCATACCATAGTATTTACAGACTCTAAATCTTTAATACCATGGAGTGTTAGTTTTCGCTCGCATTTTGATGCATTGATGCATTTATTTGTAAATCAAATCCAGGTAAGATGTAAGAGCAGAATTTAGAATTAAATATGGATTTGCCTTTTTTAACATATATATATTTTTTTATATTATTTATATATATTTACATTTTATTAATATACATTTTAATATTAAGTAATTTTTATTTTATAAATGTCAACTGATTTAATAAAATAATAATAATAATAATAAAACAATATATAATATAATTGAACTATAGAATAAAATAATATAAATGAATAAATTATAAATTAATAACTATAAAAGTACATTGTTTCATACAAATCTCATATAGATTCTATATGCTACTTAATGTTGTTTTCTTTCCTTAAAAAATAACTGATTGTGTTAACATGTTAATTAAATAAATGGAAATTAATTTAGAATTACTGAATTATCTATTTTTACCTGAGGCTGTTTATTTGTTTGCTGTTTATTTGTCTCGATTTAGTATCGTGCTGAAGTCAATCGATAATGGGTCAGAACAGTGCAAGATTTAGTAATCAAGGCAAAGAAGTAAGAAAGAGACATCAGACAGCTGTCAGAAGACATCTGGAGTTCAAAATAACCTTGGGCTTTACTTTTAGTCTTTGATTTATAATATCCTTATCAGCATAATCAGCTTTTGTGAAGATTTCAGACAGGTGCCTCCAATCCTCCAAACAGCAAATCTGTATAATTCCTCGCCGTGTTTGGTTTTGAGAAGTCTCTGCCAACCCATCTGTAGTGTGGAGAACTCAAGGGCACCGCGGTGCTCTGGCCAGTGATATCTTTGATCAGGGTTGCCGTCGCCTCCTGCCCTCCTCCCTCTCGCTCCTTCTTTCCTGCCTCTCGTTTCGTGAATTCCTCGTGAGTTACCACTCCCAGAGAGTGCCGATGAATAAATGGAAAATAAAAAACCTGTTTTGTCTCCAGAGCCTCAATAAATCAGTCCCCCTTTTCCATTTAAAATGTCCTGGGCTGCAATTTATGTCTGAGCTTAATAACCCGTTACTAAATTAATCGTGCTGGGGGTTTTGGCTGGGAGGCCACGCGTTCGGAGATTCTGTGAACCCTGTGAAAGAAAAAAAAAAAGTCAGTCCGAGTGCTTTTCTGCCCGGTGCCCAAGGTGCAAGACATCAAGGGCCTCAGTCAGAGAGGTGGAAATTCTATCTCTGATGAGGGAAGCTGGAAATTTACCTTAATGACTGGGCTACTGGATGTGGAATTAATGTGCTATGGCTACCTTACTGTACCACTCCTTTAGACACAGGGCAAGCCGTAGTCTAACCTCAGTGGACTTTGTTGTGACAGCAGTTTTTATGTTAATTTGGGATGTTTGTGCTTAATTTACTCAGAAATTTGCATCAAGTTCCACTAGCTAAAGGAGCAAAAAAAAAAAGAAACTTTCTTGACAAAAAAACTGAAGAGTTTGAGTATAATTATGCTTCAAAATGACAAAAAAAAGCACAATTCAGGTATCATAAATGCAGTCCAAAACTATTCAATTCAAATGTTGATGCATTGATGTGTAACATTTGTGAAATATATTAATAATAATACAATATAATATGAAAATAAAAAAAATACAGTATTTTGTATTTTGCCACACAAGTATATACACTAAGGGTGCATTCACACTTGGCATGTTTGGTTCGATTAAAACGAACCCTGGTGCGATTGCTCTGTTAGTGCTGTTCATTTGAGCATGTCTGAACGCTGCCATCCAAACCCTGGTGCGCACAAAACAAGCGGACCGAGACCGCTGAAAAGATGGGTCTCGGTCCGCTTCCAAACGAACTCTGGTGCGGTTCGAATGATATATGAATGCAACACGGACCAAATACTTCTAAACAAACCAAAAACAGGGAGTAATGACAAGATGCAACGCTTTGTGACATGATTTGAAGACGCGGTGTAACCAAAACAAAATGAGCAGAGGGCAAACGTGGAGCAGCGCCGCTTTAAGTCAACGCACCTTTTGTTTGGGGTGTTCGGTGAGTTCCGTCACGATATATATGTCATTCAAGCTGACCAGTCAGGTTGTGAACGTATCACTATGCCTTTAGGTTCGGTGTCAAAAATGCCAATGTGAACGCTAAGCAGACCAGGACAAAATGTATTGTTTTCCTTTTTGGTCCGGACCAAATGAACCAAACGAACCGAACTACAAGTGTGAACACACCTTAAATGTGTCATCCAAATGAATATCATTTTAATATCATCTTTTTAATATCATTTCATTTTTGTTCCTTGAAAAGAAACTGAATTTTATCAGAAAATTAGGATATTGTTGCTGAATATCATAAAATCAATATTTGTAACATAAGTAAATGAAGACTGGGGATTTAAAGCTACAGAATGACAAAAGTTTAATAATTATAGTCCGAAACTGCTTGTGTGCAAACTCTTCTGGGGCCATATGACTCCTTGATGTGAGAAACCTACTTAAATGAATTGTTCATGAATTGGATTTTGTATCCTTTTTTCTTTTATTTTGATACTTTATGGTGCTTTTGTGTCCTTTTTGAAGCTTGAAACTTCCAGTCCCTAGAAAAGAGTGACCAGTATGTTATTTAAAATTTCTTCTTTTGTACTCCGCTGAAAACAGGAAATCATACAGGCTTGGAAAGACGTGAGGAAATAATGACACAATTTTCATGTTTGGATGAACTGTCCCTTTAAAGTTTTCAGAACTTACCTGTATATATTTAGAATGATGAATTGCCGTTTTTGTTTCTCTGTCTCTCCATATCCGTTTCCATTTTCAGTCCACTAATGTTGCACTGTTGTTGTTTAATTGTTATTGACTAGTTATTTATGTAGCTCCTTCATGGTTCTGCTTTGCCTCAGGATGCAGGTTGAAAAGTTTATTGTCCGCTATGTGATGTCAATGTGACAGATAGGGATTTGTTAGGATGACCCGTTATTTTCCAGCCGATTACGTAATGTCTGTGTTTTCCTCGCCGTGAACCTGTGAAATAAATAATCCTAAGCAGCCGTTAAATTTGCCACAGATCACTTCATTTTGTCTTTTTTTTTTTTCGAATGCATAAATATTTAACCCAAACAACCGCCACATTTGGCCCTATTTTCGTTTAGCTTTTGCTTGCTCATTTAGATGGAGTTTTAAATAGGATGTGATGGAGACTGAAAGAGACCAGTGTGTCGGCGCTGAAATTATATTCAGAGCTGCCTGCATGATGGAAATATTTTCATAAGGTCATGTGCATTCCCTCCCCTCTAGCTCACATATTTTGAGTTTATGCATTATACACCATTGATAAAAATCACATTTTTTGCATTTCTGCTGAGAGTGTTGCACCACATGCAAACACCATAAGCGCATTTAAAGTTTACGCTGAGCGTTTGATGGTGAATGAACCACACAGTGCTAATATACCTGCTCTTTATGTACACTCTTTAAAGCGAACATGAAGGGTTCGCAAGCTGTTTTATATCCGTAATGTGGCATTTTTTAAGTTAAACAATATTCATATACAAAAATGTATAGTGGTTGGAGGATGGGGTTGAAAATTACGAATGTTTGGCAACTTCAGATGAGAAGGAAAGTTGCACTGAAAGATGAAAGACATTTTTTACTTTGTTCAGTGATGAAAAGTTCCTAAGATCAGAAATGTTTATTTATAAATTAAATATGGTGAATTTTGATTGCATACTGACTTAATTTGATGTTTAAATCATGAATAATTTAGAACTAAATTGAGATTTTATTGATTTATAAATTCCAGTTTGAATCCAAGTTGATGCAGGGTGCTGAATTGTAACTTGAATTTAAGAAAGCTGAATTAAAATGGAATAAAATTCAAAGAAATTCATATGACTGCTGTAACTTTTTAATAATACATTTTTGAGTGAAATTTATATAGATTTTTAGTATGCATAAGCCATAAACAAGTTAACATACACAAAACACCTAATATGTGTATATATATATATATAGTATTATGGATTTATATAAATATAAATCCATTCATGCAAAAAGTATTTGTAAAATGTCAATTCAGTTCAGCTCATAAATTGAAAGAGCTCATTGTTTTTAGTTCTTCGGGTGATCTAAGAAAAGTTTTTTTTTTGTACTATATTTTGATCATATTGCCTACATGTGCACTGATGTTTCTTCTGCTGATTCTCAGCGTCAAAGGCCACTGCAAAGAACATTGAGTCAGTCGAATTGAGTCAGTTTTTTTTTGCCGTTTTGATTGTTGTATGTGTGTGTCAGCCATTTTGATTTTTGCTCCTTCACTGGCTT